TTTTTTATGCGACCCTCATGTGATCAACAATGCTGAAATACAACTTCTTTTTTTATCATATTCATTAGCTGATGATCATTGAGTGTACAACTCCATTGATATCTAATGTTTTGTTTTGTTTTCCAGGCTTTAGGGAGTCAAAGATCTTGTGGTCATTGTGTCCATCTCATTCTCATAAACAGTGCCTTATGGGAATTTCTTGAAATTAAGACACACTTGGACTCATTGATGAGATATTAACTCATTATATTGAGTTACTATCTCATTATACTGAGATAGTATCTCAGTATAATGAGATATTATCCCATTATAATGAGATAGTAACTTAATATAATGAGATAGTATCCCATTATATTGAGTTAGCATCTCATTATATTGAGTTACTATCTAAGGGATGTTAAAACTTTAACCTTCCTAACTTGCCTCTGTTCGATGATTTTTTTGAAAGGTTTTTCATGTTCTATCTTCAGCAGTGGATGACTTGTGAAGAGTTACACTACCTGTACCTCTACTGTCTGGGTCAAGAGAAGAGGTTTTTCTTTAATATAAATAAATCTTTTGAATCCAAAAGGTGGTCTGATTGTATGCATCATTCATATATTGTTAAATAGAAAATAGAAAGAAAAACTTTGGATAATAATCATAAAAATACATAAATGTTACGCATCTTGATTGAATATAAGCTTAACTGTTATGTATTTCTAATACATATACATTATTAATCTAGAATAGGTAACCTGATTGAAGTCAATCATTTGATATTAATCATAATACATAAATCTAATGCATTTTGATTGAATTTAAGCTGAATTAGTATGTATTGAATAGGTAACCTAATTACTATGTGATTTAAACACATAAACTTGATGTATTCTGAATACATAATCTGATTAATATGTATTTATAAAAAATAAATTGTACTGTAATTAATACTGAATACATAAACATGGTGAATATTCATTTCAAATTAATAGGATTAATTACACTGACGTATATGCATCATGTAAAGTTTATCAGGTACTTTTATGTTCAAAATGTTAAAAATATTAAATGGAACTTTGTTATTTAATTATTTTACATAAATTTTAAGTTAGGGTTAAATATTTCTGTGAAAGTACTAAGTTAATCTTCCTCAATGTCGGAGGGGAATCACATCATTAATGCTGCCGCTCAGCTGAGTGTGTCTGAAACGGAGCATGACTGCAAGTTTTTTATTATTTTGTTGTGTTTCGTTTTTAGTTTCCAAGAAGAATTAAACCAGGATTAATCCAGCATTTAATGAGCCTATTGGGTGTCTGTAAATAACACAGAGGCCAAACAAGTGAGTCAGAAAGCTCCCAGAGCTGAGAATTTACCTTTAGCAACCAGACCAGGCAACAGAAAAACACCATCAGAGGGTTAGCACCAGCTAAATGCTCTGATATGTTTAACAGGTTACTTACATTAAATAACTGTCTTGGTTCCTTCATCATGTAAACAGATGATCCGCCGCAGATTGAGAGTGAAGTGAGTGTTTGGAACACCAGAAACAATCAGATTTCTAATATAAGATGGAGCTTGGTTGTTTAGGGCTTTATAGGTGAGAGGGAAGATTTTGAATTCTATTCTTGTCATGATTCTTGGCATGAGTGCTAGTTTGATTCAGGATTCAACACACCTGTCAGCTCTGCCCTGTTTCCACTCAGCCTCCATCAGATTTTCCCTCTTACCTAACGGTATAACCAGCTCTCAGACCAGTGACTAGTGTCAGATTATTACGAGTATTCCTGTAAACCTGCCTGCCTGACCCCTATCAGACCTGTCTTAGTGTCTTTTGGATCTCTGACCTGTATTCTGTGTTGCAGTTGCTGATTCTGGTGAATCTCTCCCAACCAGCGCCAGTTTCATTCCAATAAACTGTTTAAACATCTCTTGCTTCGGTTGAATCTGGGAAGCCATTAAAAGGAAGCTAAAAATGGAGGAATATGTACTCATTTTAAAGTTTTTATAGGAACTATAGCTGCAAAAGGAAGAAATATAAAAATCTTTGAATGCAAGTGAATTTTATTAAAGGCGTTAAGCTTTGGTCTCAGATAAGGAGAAGCATGAGAACCAAACAGGAAGTGAAGCCTCTGCTATGGTAGGATTTTCTTCTCTTGTGTCAATTTCCAGATGATGTTGCACAGATTTCAATGGTCTGAAGCTTTTTCCACACCTCCTGCAGATGTAGGGACTCTGGTGTGGATATGTAGATAGGTTCTCAGAGAAGATCTACGAGCAAATCTTTTCCCACACTGATGGCAGACGAAAGGCTTTTCGCCTGTGTGAATGTATAGATGGCGATTCAAATCTCCTTTCGTGCACACTCATAGCAGAGGAAAGGCTTTTCGCCGGTGTGGATAAGCAGGTGTCTTTTCAGACAGTAAGAGCTCTTAAAACCCTTTCCACAGTGGTCACAGCGATGTGATTTCTCAGAGATATTCAGCTGATCCACATGCTGCTGACCTTCACAAAATTGTTCATCCACATTACTGATATCCATCTGTAAGAGAACAAAAACGAAAAAATCCATCAACTATTTGGCACCACTGAATATAGTGTAAACCCCTTTTGATGCCCAATGTGGACCAAAATTATGGTTCTTCATAAGAAAAGCTTCAACTCAGAATGACTTACTGGAGCTTGAGACATTGCTTGGATGTGTATGTCAGTGTTTTCTCCTTCTTTTTTGACTATCCTGCTTAAAGAAGAACAGTTTAGTTATTTTTACCTTTTACATAATAAAGTCAACACATTATCAAATTTTAACTGTACCACCACACAAAAAGCAGTCAAATAAGTTATTACACAAATAAACATATCACGAAAACCAACAGTTAGTTGCTATTTATATATATATATATATATATATATATATATATATATATATATATATATATATATATATATATATATATATATATATATATATATATATATATATATATATATATGTGTGTGTGTGTATATATACATACATGTATGTAGGATAAGAATAAAATATGATAAGGATGATATGTGTATGCTATCTAAATAATAAGTGAAAGTAAGTCTTTGAACAGGTTTCTCTAGTCAGATGGTGCATTAGACCAGGGGCTCATTTCCTGTTTCCAAAATGCATCACATAAGACCACTGAACCAATCATCAATCGTCCCACTTTACTCACATTCACCAAAGCAATTATCAAGAAGCAAAATTTATTTTGTAGTAATCATTCGTGGTGTCGTGGTAAAATGAAATTTAAAATTACATAACATTGCCTACCTAGGAGAAGGTGTGAAGTTCCCAGCTTGCATCGATGAGGTGTGCAGTAACACCGAGGTAGTTATTATTGACAGATATGCAGTGGTCAGTACTAAACATGTTGCCTTGACCAACTTCTCATCTTTCGCGGCCTTCTCTGCGGCGTGCTGGGCATGTATGAGCACCTGTGGCCATCTGGAGAACGAGCTCGAGCCCATCATCTTCAACCACGCTGACAGGCTTCCTTAAAAATAAATTTACCCTTAAGCAAACGTGGCGGCTTTATAGCTGCATCCATGTTATCATATCACCTGCATCCATGTTATCATATCACCTTCAAAGTGTTAACAATAGGCCTGCACACAAGACTGATTTGTTCACGCCCCCAGATAGGCATCTGTGCTATGTATATAAGGGATAAAAAGCAGATAAAGTTGAGGGGTGCCCACTGAAGGCATAGTTACCATATGCACCGCCCACCACTGGTTAGAGTTTCATATTTAGATTACATAACAACCATTTAAAGACATCTATAATTATGGATTATTCTCATGAGCACCCTGAAGCTACCACATAAAAAGACCCATGTTTTATTGTCATTACACGTCCGGATGAATGAAAAATAAGCTCTCAGGGCATCAAAATAATCTGTCCTTTAATAACGTTATAGTGAACACTAATAGGAAGATATTTTCAAACCTAAACCTATTTTCTTTTAATGTGTTCATAGATAAAGCTTTGCTTTTGATTTAAATAAGCTGTTATTATTTTGATAGGATGTAAATGTAAAATTCTAGTTAATAAATATTTAACTTTTTCATGTTCTTATAATTTTCCTTTGTAGGAATATTACAATAAAAATTAAATCGACATCAATCTTTATAGCAGTATTAAAGCTTGGGTAAATATGGGTCGGGGTGAGGGCCCAATATCAATGTCTTTCATCGGGCCCCAAATTCCTTGTGGCCCCCATGGTTTTGCAAAGTATTATATAACTTTCAGTTGTATCATTGGTCGTGCTGTTCTTTTTACATCTCTTTGCAGGTGATGAAGCAGACTGAAGATGTTTTATCGTTATCTCCCTTTTATCTCCTCTTTCTTTCATCTTTTCTCCTCTTTTTCTGTTTTTCCTTTCCTGTTCTACTTACATTGCAGTGTACATATAATCTGTAATACTCCCTGCATGAATTATAATAAAGCAATTTATATACATAAAAGCGGAACACTATGGCGATAGCCGTACTTCTCCGCTTGTGAAAGCAATATCTGTTGGGCTATTTTTGGCATCAAGACAATTATTCTTATTGCCACATTGCCAGACAAGACAATGAAGAAATAATAATAAAAAAATATCATTATAAGGAAATTTACAAAAATAATAAATGCAATAAAAACTGAGCAATTTCCAATGTTTTCCTACAAATAGAGAACAAAAGTAATCAGGTTTTACTTCAATAGATACCAAAGAAATGTTAAAAGCATTTTGGTCCATGTTTAGCCTCTTGGCCTGTTTTCGAGAAATATGCTTGAAAATAACATGCCCAAAATGAATTGAATATATCTCAAGAACTACAGAGTTTATTTTAATTGTTTTGGTATCAAAATAAAGGCAAGACCCCAGAGAATATGTTACAGGTCTAAAAACCATCTCGGGGCGAGTGCCGAAAAGGTTAGAGCTACAAGACGAACCGTTGAACTACAACTCCCACAATTCACAGTCGCCACCGATTACGTCACCTATAAGCGACGAAAAGCCGTCTTCTTCATAACAACCAGGAAAGCTGTCTAAATAGCTGCAGTTTAGGATTTATTAGCTCAGTAGTTAAAGCTAATTTTGCTTTCTGCTACCTGGAGATGTTTATTTAGTTATTTTTATATATTCTTACGGCGTTTTTTCTCAAATGTAGATCTTCTTTTTAAATTTCGCGCTGTTTGCTCCGCCTCTGTTTCGGTCGCCTCCGTTGGTTCCCTCATCCTGAGCTGAGGTACAGCAGGAGATTAGTTTATTCCCGTCGTTATTAATCATCGGTAGACGCGTTTCTTTTTAAATGGAGGTGACGGATATAGGAAACAAAGAAGAAGGAAAGATTTGGCTTCGAAAACCAACACCTGGCAGAAGGTAGGTTAGGTTTTACTCAAAGGATGCCCCTTGAACACACCTGTTTGCCTTAGAGTAATCAGGTGCTACTGACTTACAGAGATATTTAGCCAAAGATGTCGAAGTGTTAATTTAGAATAAGTAGAAAAATATTTTCCCGTTTGTTGTATGTCTCCTGCCCTTCTCAGAGTATTGGTGACAGTGGTCCGCACTGCCCAGCAGACCAAGACGGTGCGTTTCTTACATGTGGCCTTCGACACCACAGGGGACTGCTTCCTGGCAGGAGATCGCCATGGCAACATCTACCTCTTTGACATCAGCAGAAACAGGTGACTGACTGTGGCAGTTGTATTAGGTAGTGTTGGAGGATATAGAGGGGATTTATTTTTTAAATCAGCGCAAAATAAGGTCTGTTTAGGAAAAAATAAATTTTATTTATATAGATTCAATTTACAACACATGTCATCTCAAGGCACTTTACAGTTCACCAGATCATGCAGTCAAATTGATTCAAAGTTTTCTATCTAAGGAAAACCAGTTGATTGCATCGATTCATTGACTCAAACGCAATCCCTTACACTGAGCATTTTAGTAGTGGAGAGGAAAAACTCCCTTTAACAGGAAGAAACCTCCAGCAGAACAAGGCTCAGTGTGAGCGGCCATATGCTGAAGCTGACTTGTGTTCAAGGAGACAGAAGCACAGATATAAAAAGCAGCTGTAAAAGGCGGCCCCGTCCAGGAAACGCACAGCCAGGCAGACTAGCTCTGAGCCAGCTCCCATGTCAGAGGATGAAGAGAGCACATCCAGCCAGTCACGGTCAGAGAAACAGGACTACACTGGAAAAATTGCAGATCTCCAACATCTATAAACAAAGTTGTTGATGGAAGCATTACAGATGATATTTCTCCCCAGGATGAGAAAAAGCAGAGAGAGCAGAACGTTTGACATTGAACTATCAGATTCTGCAGAGTGGGAGAATAGAGATATAGAGAATAAACCAAAATGATGAAATAGGGGTCCCTATCTCCTCCAGTAGTCTAAGCCTATAGCAGCATAACTATAGAGAGATAGCGAGATAGCTCAGCATAACCTGAGCCACTCTAATTATAAGCTTTATCAAAAATGAAAGTTTTAAGCCTAGCCTTAAAAGTAGGCTCCTCTCCTGGTAGTTGGTTCCACAGGAGAGGAGCCTGATAACTAAAAAATCTGCCTCCCAATCTACTTTTAGAAATTCTAGGAACCACTAGTAAACCTGCAGATTGAGAGCGAAGTGCTCCGCTAGGGACATAAGGAACAAATAGAGAGGAATAGTATTGATTTATAAATTAGTTTAACAAATAAATAACAAAAAGATAAAACTCAGTGCGACCAGTTGCCTTGAACAGTAGATAAATAAAAAGACTAATCTCAGTATTACTCTAGCTGTTTGGTTTTATTTATTTATTTACTTTATTGATCTCACAGTGGAGAAATGTACTTGTTACATCAGCTCAAATAGAAATAAAATAAAAGAAGAAGGTATCAGAGAAAGAAAAAGGTGTATGGGGAATATACAGTATATACAGTGCGTCCACATATGACAGCTGAAGTCTTTTTTTATTTAAAGCAGGATTATTATATACAGCTACATACACTGCTGTTCAAAAGTTTGGGGTCACCCAATCAATTTTTTGTTTTCCTGAAAAGTCACACTTATTCACCACCATATGTTGTGAAATAAATAGAAAATAGTCAAGACATTGCCAAGGTTACAAATAATGATTTGTTTTTGAAATAATTTTATTTTACATCAAACTTTGCTTTCATCAAAGAATCCTCCATTTGCAGCAATTACAGCATTGCAGACCTTTGGCATTCTAGCTGTTAATTTGTTGAGGTAATCTGGAGAAATTGCACCCCGCGCTTCCAGAAGCAGCTCCCACAAGTTGGATTGGTTGGATGGGCACTTCTTGTGTACCATACGGTCAAGCTGCTCCCACAACAGCTCAATGGGGTTCAGATCTATTGACTGCGCTCGCAACTCCATTACCAATAGAATACCAGCTGCCTGCTTCTGCTCTAAATAGTTCTTGCACAATTTGGAGGTGTGTTTAAGGTCATTGTCCTGTTGTAGGATGCAATTGGCTCCAATCAAGCGCTGTCCACTGGGTATGGCATGGCGTTGCAAAATGGAGTGATAGCCTTCCTTATTCAGAATCCCTTTTACCCTGTACAAATCTCCCACCTTACCAGCACCAAAGCAACCCCAGACCATCACATTACCTCCACCATGCTTAACAGATGGCATCAGGCATTCTTCCAGCATCTTTTCATTTGTTCTGCGTCTCACAAACGTTCTTCTTTGTGATCCAAACACCTCAAACTTGGATTCATCTGTCCACAACACTTTTTTTCCAGTCTTCCTCTGTCAAATGTCTGTGTTCTTTTGCCCATCTTAATCTTTTTCTTTTATTGGCCAGTCTCAGATATGGCTTTTTCTTTGCTACTCTGCCCTGAAGCCAAGAATCCCGCTGCTGCCTCTTCACTGTAGATGTTGACACTCATGTTTTGTTGGTACTATTTAATGAAGATGCCAGTTGGGGATCTGTGAGGCGTCTGTTTCTCAAACTAGAGACTCTAATGTACTTATCTTCTTGCTCAGTTGTGCAACGCGGCCTCACACTTCTACTCTGGTTAGAGCCTGTTTGTGCTGTCCTCTGAAGGGAGTAGTACACACCGTTGTAAGAAATCTTCAATTTCTTAGCAATTTCTCGCATGGAATAGCCTTCATTTCTAAGAACAAGAATAGACTGTCGAGTTTCAAATGAAAGTTCTCTTTTTCTGGCCATTTTGAGAGTTTAATTGACCCCACAAATGTGATGCTCCAGAAACTCAATCTGCTTAAAGGAAGGTCAGTTTTGTATTTTCTGTAACGAGCTAAACTCTTTTCAGATGTGTGAACATGATTGCACAAGGGTTTTCTAATCATCAATTAGCCTTCTGAGCCAATGAGCAAACACATTGTACCATTAGAACACTGGAGGGATAGTTGCTGGAAATGGGCCTCTATACACCTATGTAGATATTGCACCAAAAACCAGACATTTGCAGCTAGAATAGTCATTTACCACATTAGCAATGTATAGAGTGTATTTCTTTAAAGTTAAGACTAGTTTAAAGTTATCTTCATTGAAAAATACAGTGCTTTTCCTTCAAAAATAAGGACATTTCAACGTGACCCCAAACTTTTGAACGGTCATGTACATAACCCTGTATATATACAGGGTTATTCAACAGGGTATTTACATGGTTATTTATATAGATGGATATTTATATACATAAAACTATTGCACTGGGTATCAAATATAAAGAAGCAGGTTATTGTACAGGGTATTAAATAGCAATTGCTCATTATACATCAGGTGAAGGTCTCAGAAGTTTTTATGAAATTATTATTAGCAGAACAAACAGAGCCATAAAGACCAACCAACACACTAGATAAATCACAGACAAAGTTGTAGAGGTTTGTAACAGAATTGGTTTATAGAACCAGTATGTCAAGCTTTAGATCTGACAAGTGAAAACCTACATAGATACTGGGTATCCATATAAACTGACGGCTGGGCCTAGGATAGTCCTATCAAGAGGCAGTGAATGTCTGACCCTCGATAGACTATAGCCATCACGAAACAAGACATTAACCCTTTATAGGGCAGGTTACTGTTTTTGATCACTTGCATACCCCTTACATTGATATTATTTTTTGCCATCAAAATATCCATATATTTTGAATGTTACAAAGGAAATAAAGTCTTTTCCTGGATTCCAATAACACTATTCGCCTGAAATTTTGATTTTCAAAGTATTTCACTCAGTGCCCTATAAAGGGTTAAAGCAATTTTTTTTTCAGTAGAGGCAGAATCAACTTCAATTGGAAGATGTATGAAGCTAAAAACTCTTAATGGTCAATGGCTCCACTTGAAAGTTTACAAATGTTCTCTTTCCAGTCCTACTGAGGTTGAACTATTTATCAAACAGTGAAAAAGAAATTCTAGATATCTTAATATCTCAAAGTTGTAGCAAACGGTGCTGAAAAGTGTGTAAAAGTTTGAAAGGAGTGAATGCTTCTTCTATTCTTTCCTCTACCCGATTTACCTCTGTTTACAGGAAAAAGTATTGTTTTATGGTTAAAAGTATATTTTAAGCAATTAATAATCTGTGCTAAATTTCTTCAGCCTAAACACTTTGTGTCTAAACTTTCACCCTCCCTTTTTGGGGCAGGTTTCGCTTGGTGCAGAAAACAGGACAAGCGTGTACCGCTATTGCTTTTAGCCTCCGCAGGACAACTGAGTTTCTTGTAGCTCTGGCTGACTACAGCATCAAATGCTTCGACAAAGGTGAGACGAATTTCTGAATTTTCCGCAATTCAGGAGTTCTGTCATTAAAATTATACACCATATAAGTCCATACTGATATCTTTTCTCTCTGTGTGTTTTAACTCAGACACCAAGCAGCTGGTGAGTTGGATGCGAGGTCATGAGGGAGCTGTTTCATCCATCTCCGTCCATAGCTCAGGCCGCTACGCTATCACAACATCATCAGACACAGCGCAGCTCTGGGACCTGGACACCTTCCAGAGGAAGAGGAAGCTGAACATCAGACAGTCTGTCAGCATACAGAAGGTAAATAAGCTGTTAGAGCACCTTCAAACCGTAGATCTTTACTAGTTGTTTTCACAATTTATATTAAGCCTCAAAGAAATTTTAAATAAAAAATAAACGATGCATTTTGGTAATTCAATCTCAGAAATGTAATATTTTCCTTGTTGCATTGCATGAAATGTCCTGTTCTTCATCAGCTCTTTGTAAGATATCATCTTATAAAGTCGCCTTTAATTCAGATTCATATGAAAGGTCTTTGAGTTTAGATGTGCAGCTTCAAAAGTTATTTAGGTCTACGTTTCTGCTGAGGATTTACTTATTCACTTGAAAACTATAAGCGGTGTCAATGTTTACCTGGTTTTACTTGAAAGCCTGCATTGCAATTATCCTCAAATTATGTTTTAAATCTTTATGCATACTATCAGACATTCAGTGAAGTTAAGTCAAGTACTTGAAGTCAATGAATATTACAAATAAGACCCAATGAAGTGGTCTTTAGACCATTATATTTCATAATTACGTTATATTGCATTATTCTAGGTAATTCAAGCAGATTTATTTATAATATCCAGACTAAGGTTATCATAAGAACTTACAACTCTTGTTTATCTGTGTGGCATAAATGATACACAGTGTGATGCAAGGAGCTTTACAGGAGGAAGGTAGGAACACACAGAAAAAAATTTGATGCATAAAAAAAAAAAAATCAAATGTGTTCAAAAATAATAGGATGCATTTACAAATTAAAAAAGAAACATTAAAGTTATATTTAAATAATAAGAAATCTGATTAACTGCAGAAATGTCTAACGATTCTAGGTAACGTGCTGAGCAATTTAATATTTTCAGTCCTGTTTTAAAGGGGTGAACAGCTGCTGTGAATCTCCGGTTTTGAAGACGTTTGAGGGGTCTTCATTGTTTATATCTGTCCATTAAATGCTGACAAACAGGCAACTTTTGTTGGGACTTAAGGACTAGATTGATTTGATTAATTTTTACGGCTTTTATTTAGTTTTCTGGTAGCAGCACAAACGGAAACCTGAACTGAATCCTTGACTTTTTTTGTTGTTGTTTGTTTCAGTTTTCTTTAAGATTGGACTCCGAGTCTGAGGTCAACAGCTCTGTATCTGAATCCTGTTCTTGTGTTTAGGTGTTTTTCCTTCCCCTCAGCAACACCATCCTCAGCTGTTTCAGTGATGACTCCATCTTTGCCTGGGAGAGCGACACCCTGTTCTGCAAATACCAGCTTCCCGTTCCTGACTCTGAACCCAGAATCTCTTATAAGGCCTTTGCTGTCACACGGTGGGTCCCTTACAGCTCCACCTGCTCCCGTATTGATTTTCTTGACTATTTTCTGAGTGTTCTCAGGGTTACGTTAAAGGAATAGTACACCCAAAACATGATTAGCCTTCATTTTCTACTCACCCCCATGCTGAACAACACTCTGGAGTACTTTTTTGATATCTCAAATGCATCTGGAGATCTGGGAGGCTTCTTGCTGTCTGCTGACATTCAAATAATGGAGGTGCCCAGCACCCGAGGCAGAAATGTCCATAAAAGTCCACAAAAAACGTTTCAATATTCCTCCATACTGCTCGTCCAATGTATTCCAAGTGTCCTGAGTGGGTAGCATCCAGAATTTACTCGAAACGAAGTCATTTAGAATGTTTTTAGAGCATAAACAGTAGTGTATAGGATTTCCTGAAAGCGCGCACATGCGCGATCACGACGCTACGGAAGCCGGCAGACCAAACCAGCGCATTCAGCTCGGCAAAGAAGTCATGCTCTTCCTCAACACTGAAGTCCTCGGACATTTTTCTTTCGTTGTTTCTTTCTTTGCACAGGTAAACGGCACATTTCTTCTTCTACGCTTGCATTATCAAGAGCAGTCGCTGAATGCGCACTTTCATCTGGTTTGGTCTGCCGGCTTCCGTAGCGTCGTGATCGCGCAGGTGCGCGCTTTCAGGAAATCCTATACACTATTGTTTATGCTCTAAAAACATTCTAAATGACTTCGTTTCGAGTAAATTCTGGATGGTACCCACTCAGGACACTTGGTTGGACGAGCAGTATGGAGGAATATTGAAACGTTTTTGTGGACTTTTATGGACCTTTCTGCCTCGGGCGCTGGGCACCTCCATTATTTGAATGTCAGCAGACAGCAAGAAGCCTCCCAGATCTCCAGATGCATTTGAGATATCAAAAAAGTACTCCAGAGTGTTGTTCAGCATGGGGGTGAGTAGAAAATGAAGGCTAATAATGTTTTGGGTGTACTATTCCTTTAAGGGTTGGTTACGCTCCTGACGGGTTAGAAGCCATTAACCTGCCCCTACGTGTGTGTTCTGCTAACAGTAATGGTAAAAGCCTAGCTGCAGGCGGCCGCTCCAACCTGTTACACCTGTGGTGTTTGGAAAGCCAGCAGCTGGTCAGGGTGATCCAGATGCCAACTCAGGTCCGAAGTGTCAGGCAGCTGGAGTTCCTGTCTGAGAGCTTTGATGGAGGAGCCAGCCAGGTATGAAAACAGAACCTGGATATTTTTACACATATTGTTGTTTTATTTATTTAATATTTTACTTTGCTTCTGTGTAAGACTTTTAGATTAAAGTTTAATCCAGCATCAAAGTAGTTGTCCTACACAATACGTTTGTCTTCTTCCTCCCTATTTACTGTTAAGGTCAGTAATGCTAAGTTTGCTTGTCACATTTTTTCCTAATTTTAAAATAAGACGTTTTCAGAAACATCTGAGACTAACAAAACCAAATTAAGTATTTGATATAAAAATTAGTGGTGGGCATAGATTAATTTTTTTTAATCTAGATTAATCTGATTGCAATCTTGGAATGAATCTAGATTAAAATTGCTAATTTGAATTCTGCCAAAGAAATTCATGATAAGTGTGTGCTACCTAAATAATAAATAAATGTGTCTTTGAAAAGGTTTCTCAAGCCATCTGTGTAATACATTTTCCCTGAAGCAAACCCGGCGTTCTTCATAGCTGCATCCATGTTTAACATGTTCTCAGACGAAGGTGGAGTTTTAGGGTCAGACATCATTGATGATCAGACAGATCCCTTCACTTTCGAAAAAGTTAATCAACAAACATTCTTCTTTGCCACAACCCTTTTGCCGAAATAAACCACTTTGCTTTCTGTAGTGATCGATTGTTTCTCTGCAGCAAATCGGCACTTTAATTAATATACTCAGTCAGCTTATTTTGCTCACAGTCCGCTGGCGGATTTCTATGTTCGTCTGTGAGTGATCGGCTGGATACCCCAACCTTGCGCTTTTCTTGAAGTCATCAGTTAAGTTTTTCTGAGATGACTTACAAAAACGTTAAATATAACCATTAATTGGTGGTGGAAAAACTGTTTCACTCCTTCAACAAACAATCAGATCAACCACAGCAGCTGCTTCTGCTTGTCAATCGGAGCAGGAGGCGGCCAGACAAGGAAGACTGTGAAATAAAATGAATAAATAACAATTGATCTACCATTCACATAACCTTAGATTATAAATTTAGCAAAAAATAAATTAATCTAATTCTTAAGAGGCTCCGACAGCATGTCATGTTTAACGTGGTAATTTCGCAGCACACCACAGGTTTGATTCGTTCTCCACCTCAGATATACATCAGTGCTAAAATAAATATCTAGGTGAAAATTATCATTAGTATAGTAAACTCCCAACCCAACAGTGAGAATAGATTAACTTGGCGATATATATTTTTTCTTTCTTTGCCCGATAGCAGTCTGACGTTAACGCCCTTAATGGCCCACCAGTAATAAAATTCCACTAACCTTTCAATTCTCAATTCAATTAGATTAATTTATTTGAATTTGATTAATTCATGGAAGGAAGCAGCTTTGAAATCAATGTTGAATCAGGTTGTGTGATATAGCTGGATACATTTTTAAATGTATTTTCTTTAGCAATATTTTAATTGTACTAAGTTCCAAACCACTTTCCTCACTCTGCTCTAAATATCTAAACACAAATTCTAAACCTGACAGCAGCTAACAGCATAGATAAACCTCTTCTATGACAAGTATATATGACTAGTTCATCTGTACACACGCATTTATAGGAAAGTGCAGATTTATTTTAATCTTGGCATGGTTTTATATATATATATATATATATATATATATATATAATCTCTGTCTCCTGTGTGATTTCTTTTCTTTCCGATAATCTGAGGTGAGTCATATAAGGTTCTGTTGTCTTTCTTTTAGAAAGGGAATAAAAGTAATTTAAAATAAATAGAGGGTCGGAACTTCTTTTCTAAATGCTGCTGAACTCTTCCAAGCTGGATGACATGTTATAGTCCAGTGCTTAATGCTGGACAATAATTAGAAAAGAAGAAATGCAACTTCCTGTAGGTTGGTTGATTATGGAAGAGTTTATAAACTGTCTCATGTTGCGTTGCAGTGGTGGTGCTTATTTTAAAAGCATGTTAGAGAAAGATAAGTCGAAATGGTTCATTCCAAGACTGAGATATGAGACACGATGTTAGAAGCTATTGTGGTTGGGGTTAAAGAGTTAATGTTATTCTGGGTCTAGCCTCCGGATGCTGACACAATCATTAAGAGTTTATCTGTTCCTTTAATAGAATAGGACAACAGAAAAGAACGTATAGCATCCATATTTCTCTGTTTCTCGATCTGTGTGATATCATTTTTTTCCCCTGTTGCAGCGTTTTGATCTGTTTTCATGACTGTTAGCTTTGTCTTTCCAGACGTTGGGAGTGTTGAGCCAGGATGGTGTGATGCGGTTTGTCAACATCCTCACATGCAAACTTCTCTTCCACATGGGTTCTGTGGATGAGGCCATCACAGCCGTCGCAGTCGGCCCAAACAGTCGGCATATCGTAGCTATCATGGATAACGGCAGCATTAACATCTACAGCATGCAGAGCGTGACGCAGGAGTTAAACAAGGTGACCGTTTGCTGCAGAAAGTAGGTGTTTCCTCACTGATCTGACTTCAGGTTGACATGTACCTGCGTCTCCTCTCTGCAGCCTCCTCCGTTTAAGGTAGCTGTGGTCTCTGGAGGGGAAGCTGATCAGGACTTTTCTAACATAAAGATCAAGGTTAAATCAGAGAAGATTCAGAGACCAGCCAAGAGCTCAGGCAGAGGAACAAAGGTGAAGACACTAAGGCCACCTGCAGGGTCTGCAGCTGACGACAAAGAGGTATGAACAACATGGAAGTAAAGGTCTTTGTGATTCATATTGGCCTATTTATTATTATATTATTATTATTTCAATTTTGTTGTTTTTCTTTATCCTTTTCATATTTTGTGGTATCACAAACATGTTATACTCTAGTTTTAGTCTGACATGGACAAATCTTTGCTACTGTTTGGGAGAAATCCGAAGGAAATCCAGTTTGCAGTTTGAGACAAAAAGGAGAAGCAAAGTGCTCTGGTCTAATGAGAACAGGATAAAGCCTTTTATATACTGAATATGATTATAATTGAACTTTATTGACCTCACATTGGAGAAATGTACCTCTGCATTTAAACCATCCCCTTGGGGAGCAGTGGACTGCCATTGTGTGACATGGAGACTGTGGGGATCGAACCGAGTACTTGCAACCTTCTCAGAGCCCAGGCACACTGACTGCTCTAACCCACTAGACCAACACTTCCCCTATGAAACATGGTAATGGCAGCATTATGGTGTGGGCAAGACCTTTCAGATCATAGCTGATGTAAATGATTATAAATGGAGAAATTGAGCCTGAGGTGCAGGATTTCTGACAGGATATGGAGCTTAACATGAAGCTGGAGCCACAGTAGAATGTTTTTTAGGGGTTGGTCCAGATCTACATCCAATAACCCAACTGGGACAATACCTAAATTACTGTAACAGAACCTGTACCACCAGTTCAACTGAGCACCTGTTATTTCACCAGCCAAAGATTTTCTACTGGAATCGATGCAAAGTACTTATTCATATGGACTGAAATGAAAGCTACACTTTTCATACTTGTATAACACTAGGCACTGTATCTCTATCCTTTGGGGTGAATCTTTTTTGACAATTATTCATAACTTCATCTTTTTACTACACCGCAGATTGTGGTTCTAATTTGACAAAATGCTAAAAGGTTGCAGTTTAGTTTTTTTACACTGGAAAAACGATCTAGAAAAATGCTTAAATTAAGCATATTTACCCTTAATTTGAGTAGGTAAATGATAGTTTGCCAATGGAATGAGTATTTTTACTCTTAAAATTAGATATTTAGATAAAATGCACTTGAAATAAGACAATTATCATTGTGTTTTCTTATTTTAATTGAAAATTGTCTTGTTCCATTGGTAAAATGTCTCTTTTATCTCCTCAATCCAAGAAATAATGCACTTATTTTAAGAAAAAATGACTTATCTAGATTTCGTTTTTTTTTTCCAGTGTAAGGCTCCATCTATCATCCAATACATTTCCTCAATCAACTAAACCATTTGCACCTTTTCTACTTTTTCTGAATTAGAATGAACTACCGTCTGGTCTGAATAAGAAGAGGCTTTTAGCTCTGCTGAAAGCTTTTGGAGAATTTCCAGCTAAATACAGGTGAAAACCTGGTTTATAAAAGAAGCTACTTTGAAGCTGCAGGTTTGCTTTGCCTTTCTATCGTTATCTTCTGAATCCCTGTTGCAGGATGTTTGTATGGAGGTCTTTGCTGTGTCTCCCAGAGAACTACGCAGCTTACAGCAGTCTGACTGACAAAGGTCTGCATTCAGCATTCCTTACCCTGCATGATAAGTACCCCATCAAAAGCCTCAAGCTGCAGAGGGGCCTGCAAAGGTACATACCGGATCTGTTGGAAAACATTATGTTCAAGTTTCATAAGTTTTCAGTGGATCAATGTTGTTGTTGTTTTTTTTCTTTCCATCTTCTCCAGGGTTTTGTCTGCCTTAGCTCATTGGGCAGCCATTTTTGCTGAGGTTGAATATCTCCCTTTGGTAGCTTTTCCTTTTGTTAAGCTTTTCCAGAACAATCCCATGCTCTGCTTTGAGGTGGTGGCTACTGTCATAGGTACTTCTTTACTTTAGCTTTTTGCAGTTTATTTTTCTTTAAAATCCCTTAAAGTCGTTTCTTCTGACTCGATGTCTGCATGTTCAGTGAACTGGTGCCAACACTGGTTTGAGTATTTCCCCAACCCTCCTCTGAACATCCTGAGCAGGGTAGAGAACGTTCTGGCGCATCACGACAAGGAGCTGCTGCAGCACCTGGTGGACTGCGGCATCTCCTCACAGGTAGAAGGCCGAGCAAGAGGCTCAAAGCTGAGCTTCAGATATAGAAAAAGAATAAAAAGAAGATACCTATGTGTCTTTGTCTACTGCAGCTGTATTTGTGGCCCCTGTTGGAGACGTTATTCTCAGAGGTTCTAACACGTGATGAGTGGCTCCGCCTGTTTGACAACATCTTCTCCAACCACCCCTCCTTCCTGCTGATGGCCTGTGTGGCTTACGTCATCTCCTGTCGGGAACCTCTGCTGCTGTGCTCCCAGAAGAAGGACTTTGAGGTACGCTTTTTAATGATTCTTGTTTTGAAATCGGGTTAACTGTGAGGTGCTCTTCCTCCCTATAAATGTTCCCTATGGTTTCTCCTCCTCTCCAGTACTTTTTTCACCATCGAAACAACCTGGATGTTGGGGCTATGATAAAGGAGGCTTACAGGATCATGTGCAGCACGCCAGCGGACATTCACCCCCAAACCATGCTCTCCGACTTTACGCCCCTCACCAGCGGCCAATACCCCGTCTTCAACCAGTACCCAGAATTCATAGTGGAATACCAAAGCAGGGAGAGGGAGCGAATACGGCTGCAGGAGATGGAGTATATAAAAGAGCGGTGAGCTAAATAAACGACAGGAATGCAAAAAAATTAAACGCAATTAACCAGTATGCTTTTTTTTTTTTTAATACTGACAATAAATGGATTTAAAAACAAATCAAACAAAACATAATAGGGAGAGGCAATGAATTAACGTATCGGACAATAAAATTATTAACATTAGCATGTCTTCATATACCTGCATGATGGTGTTTAGAAACCTCCATGGACAGAGCCAGGTGACTCCAACTAGTCCTTTTTTTGTGGTTTTCCTTTCATCTTCAGGCAGGAGCTGTCAGCTCTCCGTGCAGATTTTGTGCTTCGCCAGGCTGAAGAGAAAGCCTACTTTGCCCAACAGGTGGATCTGTTTCTCAAAATCTCTCGTTAACATTTTAATGTGTCAGCATGCTAAAGTTAAAAAAACAATTGAAATGTTTAAAGAAAACTAAGAGCATAAGAGAAATAGATGGGTGATAAAGGAGCTAATATCTGATTTCTACTCAGGAGTTGCTTCAGAAAGCAGAGGAGCAGCGCAGGAACATCCTGGCACAGGAAGAGGAGAAGCTAGCACAGCAGAGGAAAAAGTAATGAATGAGGCACTTATTTGTGTGTTCTGACGAAAAGAGAAAAATTTCTTTAGATTTTTAGAAGTTATAACTGCCTTATGGGGATCAGGTTGGCAGCTATGAAGAGAGAGCTGAAGGTGAAGGAGTTACACCTGCTGGACGCAACTAGAAGACGCTTTCTGAAACAACAACAGGAGCTCCAAGCCTCACAGATTCAGAGACTGGATCAGGAGATCAGCTGGAAGGTAAATGTGGTTCATGTCTGTTTGTCATTAGATTAGCGAGGATAGATTTTAATCATAGCTCTAAGTCAGAGGCATCAATCCTCAGATGCCACAAAAGCTCTTGGGGCGCCCTAAGTTTCAGATTTATTTATCTTTAGTTATTTAGGACAAACTTAATTATTTTCCTCCCGTTTTACCAAAGATGGATCTGCGTGAGCAAGAGACGGCTGCAGCAGTTCAGGACCTAGAAGTCAGACAGATGGAGCTGGAGGCACAGAGGAAGCAACTTGAGCAGGTGACAAACCCTTAAGCTGTAACAGTGAAAATATAGATGTTTCTGCCTCATACACTGAGACTGATGGTCATGCATTTGCTAAAAATGTTGATGTTAAGGACCTGCTGAAGGAACAGAAGCGTTTTGGACTTGAGGTGGAAGAAGAAGTACAGCTAAAAATGAGGGAGGCCGAGAGGGCAGAGGAGAGTTACTCAGAGATGCTGCACAACACAGAGAAAAACCTGCAGGTCAGAAACCCGCTTCATTATAATCCTAACATCAGACAGCAGGGGAACTCAGAGGGAGCTTAGATTTGGTTTAGGTTGTGTAGAGTCCTTACTCAGCAGGTGCCTCAGAACCTTCTGTTCCTGCAACAAAACTCACACATGCAGGCCCTGGAGGAGTCCCTGGCAGAGGCACACCAGCTGGGCATGGAGTCCGACTGGCAGAGGGAGGTGCTGGATCGCCTGCAGCGGGTCGATGCTGAGCAGGAGAGGAAGAGGGAGAGACTGGCACAGCTTCAAAGGCAAACTCTGGCAGAGGAGGAGAGGCTGGCTTACACCATGAGAGAAGTGGGAGGAAGAAAAGTGAGAACAGAAATCTTTTTTTCAGCAGTATATGTTTACTTGTGTAGAGTAACAAACTAATAATGGAGGTGAAATTTGATCTGAGATTCATGCTTCAAACAAAAACGCCAGTAAAACATCCCGGCATTGCTGGGGAATTCAGGCTGTGTACAGATATTTCCTCTGGCTGCTGTTATTTATGGAAAACCATGTTGGTGATTTTCAGCGGGATGAAGCGGCGAGTATCAGATCACAGCTACAGGAGCAGAGAGCTGCCTGGTCCACAGCAGAACCAGGTATCACACCTCACACAGAACTAGAAACAGACATTCATTCATTTAAGGTTCATATGCAACTGACTGATTCTGCTCAAGCGGTTTAGAATTAAAATTATACTAGCATTACCACAAGGTGGCAGCATGTTGTTTTCTAGTCACTGTATGAGAGGAGACGCAGGTTTTTAACATGGATAGAAAAGTGTCTCCTATCAAATAAAGGTTATTTTAATTAGAACATGTTTGAATAATTAGCAATAATACTTTGACCAAATATACTTTTTTAGGATTCTTTGCTGTTAAACTCTAATAATTCAAAGAATACAAATCCCCTTTACCATTATTAAAAGACAGTAACACTCAAAACTTCATTTATAGCCTGATTGTAACAAAATGTATTAGAAGCCTGGACCACTGGTATAGATCTAATAAGGCTTTTTTTCTTTTTATATCTGAAGGAGTGAGACAGAGGAAGACACAGTCACAGTGTCCGTCTCAAGGACCTTTGCCTAGACCTGCTGCCTCTGTTGCAGCCAAAGGTGTAAATACAGCTGTGGGAGGCTGCGGGGCCCCCATCCAGAGGCAGGCAGGAGCCACCATGGTGTGTCTGAACAGCAGCTCACCCTCAGGGAGCACCTCCACCAACTGTGAGTTCATTTAAGGAGAGGAAAAGCATAATAGCAATTCATTTTTTCTATTAAGCCAAAATGTTTTCCTTTTGTGATCTCAACATAATTCCATTCATTTCCTCTGAGTGTTTATGTCATGATGAGTATTTAGCACTAATTAAGTATTTCTGTTTGCATCCTATTAGTCTCCTTGGACCGAGGTCGGGCCCATTTGGACAGCAGTGAGCGGGAGCTACTGAAGGAAATCAGGGAACTGAGACAGAAGCTGGCAGCCAGAGCCAGAGAGACCTGCTCAGCCTCCTCACAGTCTGTCCACACGCTGTCTTCTGTCTCCTAGTGACCACCAGCTGCCTTCTGTCATCTGTCTGTGTTAGGAAACATATTCTGAACCTAAGCTCTCTGCAGCATAACACAAACAGTGACTCAGACTGTGGACCAAACGGACTAGCTGCTGCCTGTTTTTCTGGCACGCATCCTTCCACCTCAGACGGATTATAGGTTTTTATCTGATGATAACTCAAATAGACTGAATTTACAAGATAATTCTTTTACCTTTTATCCTTGATACATGTTTGCAACTTTATTAAATTCAGTTCTTATTCAGCCTGTTTACGTGTCTCTGCAATCTCTGCATCTTTCTTTCCTTATTTGTCTTTCTTGTTTCAGCTCTTTGAACAGTCCTTACTCAGCAGGTGCTTTAGAAGCATCAGGGTGTAGCTTGTTAAAATATGTCAGTTTGATTTGTGTGAATGTTCTGTATTTTTATGCCTGATTTCCACTTTCTACTCACTGCTGTTTTCTCTACTTGTGACTCTAAATGTGCATCATAAGCATATTATAGGCCTAACATGCACAGAAAGGTGAAGGATGAAACCAATTTAAACTAAAGATTTATAAAATACAATTAGCTGTCTATAACTAGGTTTTCCTCTGCAGTAATTGTTTCAGTATGGACTGTTACAGCAGCTGTTACCAAAACTAGACTGTACTTCTATTGATGTTTTCCTTTGTTAGACCAGTAGTGCTTTACTTTGATGTTTTATTGTTGTTGATTGTTTTTTTTATGTATTTTTTATTTAAAACCATTTTTGATAATTTTTTCTGTATTCTTGCTGTTTTTTGTGATTTCTGTATTCTGCTTACCGCAGTTTGCTAAAGAATGATTCTGATTGTTTCAGAGGCTACTGTTTTTCAAACTTCAAAGATGGCATTGTTAAGCAAAAACAAACCAGAACATATCCAGTTACAAAGTAGGAATTAGTTTTTATTGTACTCGTCATCTTTCGCTCTCCAGAATTCATTTACGGGGGCTTTAGATTCCTCCACCTTCTCTAAAGGAAGCCAAAAGATGAGACCCATAGTCCCTCCAGCGCGTTCTAGGCAGTCCCCTGTCCTCCTCGCAGTGGGTCAACATCTACCCAGAGACGCCTCCAAAACAGAGGCCCAAGCCACCTCTGCTGGCTCCTCCCTATGTGGAGGAAGCAATGTCTTTACTCTGAGCCCGTCACCATATGTCTAAGGGGGTGGCCGGCCTCTCTGCGGAGGAAGCTCATCCCAGCCATGTCTTCCCATCATGACACAGATTTCATAAACAGATGAAGGTAGGAATGGAGACCAAACGGTAAATAAAGAACAACCTTTGGCTCAGCCCTCTCTTTCACAGACCAGTAGTGTCCATCCACATCACTGCAACACCACTCAATGTCAATCACCGGCTCCATTCTCCCTTAACTATTGAAAAAGACCAACACATACTTCGACTCCTACCACCGGATCCTCCATCCTGAAGAGGGTAAGCCAGCTTTTCCAGTCGAAGAAAATGGACTGACATGCAGAAAATGATCTTCATGCACACCAGCCGCCATTACGCAGGTTGTAGGTCCTGGCTAGAGGGCACTAGGACAGCAATACCAGAGAATGGTAATTACATCTGCAGGTCCCTAAACCAGACCCCTTTCAGACCTTGGCTTTGCCTAGAAATCTTATCCAATATAAAACCTGTGCCAGAGACTATTCATTCACCATGCAGGGTGACTGACTCCTGATGCTCTTGTACAGTGGTCAGATGGCCCTTAGAGAAGATCTCCTGACTTTCTACTCCTGGACCATCTTCTCAGGGCACCAAAAGGACTCTATTGAGGTCCTTCTCCAGGTCTGCAAAACACATTTGGACCAGTTGGGTAAACTCCCATGATGCCTAGAGCCCCCTGAAGTGCACAGGGTACAGAGCTGGTAACAAAAGCGTAACTCTTCATCAAAAAAGCTGAAATATCAGGAACTAACTATTGTCACCATTTTATGCTAACGAGGAAACAATACAGTGAACATATTTTGGGGAATTTTTAAAGTGTTAATTCATAGAATAGACGCTTTAAAAACCTGCATTGAAGACAAAGTCCACATCAGATGGATTTTAGCTGAGAATCACAGAGCCATCGCTGTACTGTCTCGACTCATGAGCCCCATCCAGGTGTGTCTACTCTAGGTCCAAAGGGCCTTCAGGGGTTCTTTGACAGGAGCTGAAGTGACAGCCATCTTCATTCCTGTCACTCATGCATTTCTCTCCATTCACCCATCTTTAATCTGTACTCAGCATGTTGACTCAGGCCTGAGAAAAGAACTGCGAGTATGCTGTGCTGATCTTTATATACTGCAAGTTTAACCACATCAACTGGTCTTCCTTTATTTTGTTCATTTTTTGCTCTTTGCATGTGTGTTTCTTTAATACATTACTCATAAAACATATATTGATGTATATTTTTTTATCTTCAGATACAGAATAAGATCCTGGAGACTTAGTTTTTTGTAACTTGAACATATCTTGTAAAACTCCACATTTTGTCAGGATAGTGTTAAACAAAAATGTATTTCAATAGGGTTTTTGACTGATCAACAAATAAGTAAATAAGTATGAAGTTGTGCAGCTATTTTTTGAGGGCCTAATAGGTTTATTAGTGAAACAACAAAAGCATCAATACAAAATAACAGCAGAGGGGGCAGGGAGAAAGCTTTGAACATCTCATTAAAAAAAAACATTAAAAAACAGAAAGATTCTGGAACAGCAGCAAACCCAACAATACCTGATCCTCCATCTAGACTGACTACCAAACCAACCATTGCTTCAAGAAGCAGCCATAAGGAGAATCATAACTCCGTAGGGAGCTACAGAGATCCACAGCTTAGGTTAAAAAAGTTTGTAACGGGGACAGAATTAGCTATGGACCACACCAATAAACTCCAGAGTCCACAATAAATCATTTCTGATTTGCATAAAGCTTTAAGAACCTGGCTAGATGAGACACATGGAAAAATTAACCCAGCATCTCTTAGAACTCCTACAGTGAAGCACGGAGTTGGAAGCATCATGCTGCAGGAATACTCAATCTACGTCAGAGACATGAAAGCTCAGAATTAAGGGGAGGTTTACCTTTCAACATGATAAAAACACTTTAACTAGCACTAACAGACATCCTTATGTGAATGGCCCAGTCAAAGATCGAGCTTAATCACACTGAATCTGAGTCATAATTTTAAAAAAGTTCCCAGATGTTCTCTGGAAACTTTAAGTTACATTTTCTGTAGTTTCAATCAGTCAAAGGTGGCTTTATTGACTTAGCAAAAATATATAAAATAATATAAATTTATGCCACATTATTCATGATTCTGAAGAATAAATAAAAACTCTTGAGGTTTGAGGTTTTTTAGTGAGAAATTAAAACATTAAGGACAATGACTAGTTTAGGCAGCCACTATCCATAACACTGTGTACTTTCAGTTCTCACTTGTCACATCTGATTATGTTGAGGAAACCACCTTGCTCTAAGCCGAGGCGGACCTGCCTTCTTTTCCTAACTTGTTTTCTTAAATCAGTAGTTCATCGCCAGAATAAACCCAAACAGCTGCTGTTCTCTTATGGTGCTGATCCAGACTTTCTTTATCCAAAAAAAACAGGCTTTATGTTCCTCTCCTATGGATGCCTACCACAGGCTGTCAGTACTGTCACACAGAGGGTCCAAACCTCTGGGGAAGGTGAAGCAGCGAGTTCAGGACCTTCGGATCCCCTCATCCTCTAATTGGGATTATGAAGCCAGCGGACCGAGGTTGGACCTGAGTCACAATGAAAGCGCTCGATTTGCAGCAGACTCTCTGCTCAGCCAGGGTTTGGAGGGCTATCTCCAAGCGTTGAAGGCAGAGGGAGAGGTGGATTTTCTGTCAGAGCTGGAGAAGGATTACATCCTACAAAATGGAAGCTACTCCATCACAGGTTGAATATTTCTCTAATTAAAAGCTTTTTTTCCCTCTCCCCTTGCAGCCTGTTGTGTTTTAGGCTCATACAGCCTTGTGTTAACAGATAACTCAGGGTCTGAAAGCCTGTTTGCTGATTGCCAGTCCTGCTCCTGCTGCCCTGCAGTTTCAACACACATCGACTCCACTGTTGAGTGTTCGGAGCACAAAACCAGTGAAGGTAAATAAGAGTAATTGCAACCTTAACCGCTTCAATATTAGTTAACTGATTTATCATTTTCTGTCTTCACTCTCCAATTTGTCTCTACCCAGATGTGAAATCAGCTCCTTTGTTGCACGATCTCAGCACTGAGGTTTTTTTCCAGACTGACAGCAGTGCAGCTGGCATGAAAGATCTGGTCAGACAGTTCCTCAGGAAGGCTAAACTGGTATGATATGATCTGTTTATGTGACAGACAGCAGGACATGATTATCTGTGCCTGTGAGCAAAAGGCGTCTATAGTGTCAAAGTATTACATAATGGCAGTAGGGCTGGCCCAATCCGATATCGATATCATAAATCGGTCCCATATCAGCCAAAAAAATAATATTGGAATATATCAGCCTGCCTCTAAAATCTCTTATATTAGAAAGCTCATAGAAACAGCTTTTTTTTCCCTGCTTGTATTTGATGTTTTTGTAACAATCAGTTGTTATCTCCTGTTGACTATTGTTCCCTGTATTAGAAGTATCACTTGATCAAATCTTTTCCATCATTCTACACTATAAAATTACTAGTAAAAGTATGCATCATCCATGCTGATATCGTATCGGTTAATCGTTGGTTCATGCTTAAATCTGCTGTATTGGTTTCATGTAGTAAATGAAAAAGTTGTTTTGGGAGACCAATAATTGGCAGGTTGTTATTGAAAGTTGCTGTGTTCAGGCCCTAGTTGTGGTGATGGACAAATTCAGTGATCCAGAGCTGCTGTGTGATCTTCTTGAGGCGAGCAGGAAGAGGAAGGTGTCTGTTCATCTGCTGCTGGATGATCTTAACCTGAAGCTGTTTGTTGACATGTGGCAAGATCTCAAACTCATTGGCAAAAACTTCCCTGTAAGTTTCTTCTTTGCCGTTACCTTGGAATTAACTGATTAGGTTAATTTTACACATCTATGTTGTGTTTACTAAACAGACCAGTGACTTGCATAACTATCAATACAATTACACTTTTCCCCCCTTTATGATTGAACCACAAACCTCGGTGTATTTAACTTAAATGTATCATGTGACAGACCAAGACAAACTAGTTGAAAAAAATTAAACATGTCTGGTTTTTCTTTCTGAATAATAAGTAACATTTCAGTCAAACCCGTTTTCTCTGATACCTCCAAATCCAGTGCAACCTACTGCTAACACGTGTTAAACCTCAATATGTGGACCATTAAATAACGTGCAGCAAAATGTAGATCAAGTAAACACACTTAAATAATAGAGCACTGTCACCACAATCTAAAAAAAAACAAAAAAAAACGATGGTTGTCCATCTGAACTGATAGGCTGGGAAAGGAGAGGATTGTTCATTTCAGTGGAGAAAAACTTAACGGCCAGCAGGTGTAGAGCTACAGCGAAACGTTTTACATCAAGATTATTTATTTATAGACATTGAATTGAGATCAGGACCAATAAATCACTTTCACAGTAATGCCTCATTTTATTTTGTCACACAAAAAAGAACAAGATAAATGCCTTTCCAAGCTACTGTATGAATCTGATGGTTGGTGTCTGTGTACAGAAAGTGTCGGTGGGAAGCATACCGGGTCAGACCTACTGTGCAAAGACAGGCAAGAAGCTGACGGGTCAGATTGCAGAGAGTTTCATCATCGCTGACAGGCAGGAGGTGCTAACTGGTACATACAGGTATGTCTGCACACACCATCAAAAGAGAGGGCATTCCAGTTTCTCTATTAATGCTTCCACTTTTGTAAAACGTCTATCCTATGATATTTTGTTTTTTGTTTGTTTGTTTTTTTCCCTCAGTTTCACATGGCTGTCTGGACAGGTCGATCGGAGTATGCTTGTTCTCATCAAAGGCAGCTCGGTCTCACATTTCCATCAGGAGTTCCTCAGACTTAAATCCAGCTCCAAGCCGGTCCCTGGCTTTAACACCTTCATCCCTCTCCAGAGTCTGTTTCTCTTTACTCAAAGTCACATAAACTTCAAACAGTGCATCCATGGACACATGGGGAGATTGATCTGTGGTATACTGAGGGGGATAAGAAATTAAATACAGATGGAAGAGCTGATCAGGTCCTCTCAGATCTTCATTCTCAGCTTCAAAGCAATGCTGCCAACACCACAGCTGAGAGGCATGTGGAAGTCCATGAGGACCACTCTCTGATTGCTATGTCCACAACACAGACGCATTTAAGGAAGATTCATAATCAGTCAAGTTTAAACAAGAAAAATTGTCTTTCATACCCAGATGGGGGCACTGATGGAGTTTTCTCTCACCAAAGGAACACAAACAGGTTGCCAGAAGCTGCAGATTTCACCCCAGATTCCCAGCAAATGGCACCAAAGACCAGCCGTCAGACTCCTTCCAAACCGCACTTGTCCAAGCTTCATACCAACACCTTTTTCGGGGAAACCAGCAAGCAGGATGAGTTCATCAAACAGCATCAGGGTCCTCTAAGCTCACTGTCCTACGCAGTGTCACCGTGTTTAAAACCAGCCCCTGCAGAAATGAAAACTTCTCTGAGTCCTGGGCATCAGGCAGAACCCAGAATATTCCTGTCAGATGTACGACCCAGGATGAATCTCCACCCTGTCTTATCCCAGCAAGTAAACCTTACACAGAGAAAGCACTGGAGCCCACAGCAAGCTGCAGGACCCAGAGCAATGGCTCGCTATAATTCCTTCAGTGGGACACATGTGATGACGGGGCAGGCAGGGTGGAGGCCTCTCCAGAACGACAGGAACACATCACTGGGAAGAAGCTTAAGCATGATGGAGAGATTCACCGCAGGCTATAGAGGAGCAGGACTTCACCCAAACTGGATATAATAACATAAACTGTTTTAAGACAAATCTCCACATTGTAAAAACAAGGATTAAACAGAACCCCTAAAAAGGCTTTCCAAACATTTCTAACAGATAGTTTTACTATGTCATAGACCAACAAAAAGTGATATAAAAACCTGAAATATGAGGATTGATATTGATCTTAAATGTAAAAAGGTCTTGGAGGTTTACTGGAGAACATTAGTAAACAGCATCATGAAGCCCAGGAACCACAGCACACTGGTCAAGGACAAATTTATGGAGAATTTTAAAGCAAGGCTTGGTTATAAAACAGGATGAAAGGACTGCAAACCTGCAATAACCGGCCTGTCTTCTAAACATGGCTGTCCAGGTAAGGAGAGCATTGAAGGAAAGAATACCAGAGCCTCATAGAGGAGATGCAGAGATCCCCAGCTCAGGTGGGAGGTCTGGTAGCTATGATTAAAACACAGTTTCTGGATGAATGACAGGAATGAAGGCACAGAAAGTTCAAATCTATATTTAAAAGAAGTAATACCAGCTACTTAAGGCATGAAGCTGCTTTCAGACTGAAGATATTTTTCACAGCCCATTTTCACATCTTGTGAAAGATGTGTTTCTCTTTTATGACACTGAACTATCTTTATGGTTTATGTTATACATGACTTGGTATTGTTAATTTTTATATGTAAGTTATTTAGAAGACCTCTCTTGTATTGCAGCATTGTATAATGTTGTATAATGTGTAATATAATACTGTATATGTCAAAATCTGCTGTATTGAATTGTCCTGCTCACTATTAAACTCTCAAACCAACCAAGCTGAATTTCTCCATCCCATTTATTTATTTATTACAGCATATGGACCAGTACACAATATTCTTCTGCAAACGTTTTTTATTGGTGAACTTTTCCTGCAGCTGGTTTATGCTGACTGTGTACTAATGTGTCCTTTCAGTTTTCAGTCATATTCTTAGCATTTAATTGTGTCCAATTCTTTTTATTTATACAGTGCCAATTAACAGTTCAACAACTGCCAAATCAAGGCACTTAAAAAAAAAAAAAAAAACATTTTTATTGAAAAATAGCCACTGGAGGTAAAAATTGCATCAAGTCATGGTACTTTTTAATTATATACTTTTGAAAGTTTTAAAATATTTTCAGAATGAAGTAAAAAAACAGAATCCTAGGTTACTGGCTGTTGGCTCTTTTGCCTTAACTTTTATGATTTGTCAAAATATCAAAAATGTTATCATTAAACATAATTAAATAAATACTGTGGGAACTAAAATATTGCTGAAAGAAATATATCGATTACATAAGGAATATGATGAGATTAAAGACATAGATACATTGTTCTAGAACTGTTGAACCATTATTACTGCTCATAATTGGGCTCCCCTGTTAATATTAACATTATTTTAAATTTACCTGTAATATTCTAACAAGTACTTTACTTTTCTTTAGAATTCCTTAGATAAGTTGTTGAATCAGATTTTGTGTTACAGGGTTACTAGTTGGAATTTATAGGTTTGGTCAAGAATGTGACAACAGTGCCATCTAGGGGAAGCTTAATTTCCAGAAATCTTTACCAGTTACTCCAAAAAAGTTATAAAACAATCCACTGGACTTTGATTCCATGATTGAAGATGTTTTGCTCCCATCCGGGAAACTGTTTCATTTCAAAATGTCAGAATTGGCATCGAGCTCCAAGCTTGATAAGAAGCCCAAACCAAAGCCTTGTTTTGGCTTATAGAATATGCAAATTGAACCGGAAGAACAGGTCCACCCCCTTAGGAATGGGGGGTTATTGAGATCTTTTGTTAGCCTGCAGCACCCAATACTGGACTATGCCTCTCAAAGGGGAATCTTTAGGGGCATTGTTGACCTGTCTGACCAGGCGAGATGTTTTGGTCCCCTGCATGAGGATGGGGGTTGAGATGATTGTGGGAAGGAATCAACTTTATCACTATATTGAAATAAATGGCTTCCGTCACACCCCTTTCAAACCACCTGTCTTCTTTGTCCAAAATGTGAACATTCTGGATCTAAAAAAAAAGTCTTTTGTCCATAAGATGTAGATGTACAGCCGAGTCTGGTCCTGAAGAGGTAGCTCTCCTGTGTTTGGCCATGTATCTGTGGAGAGATTGTTTGGTTTCTCCGCTATATAGATCAGAGCATTACTCACAGGTATTGCAGGCTAACAAAAGATCTTAACGACGACCATTCCTTAGGGGCAGACCTGTTTTATTTAGTGAATTTAATTTAAATTTAAATTTGGAAACACAGTCAAGTGCATTGATTTTTAACTTAATGGATGCACATGGGCTCTCCTGTGTCTCCCATAGTGCTGAACTTATACATGAAAGAAGTGGAAAGCAGAGCTCTATACTCATACATGGCAACAAATCCCAGTCACTGGTTCAGATACTTGATTGGGACATGGGTCAAAATAAAGACCAAGGATATCGACATGTTCACAGACCACATTAACACAGTGGACAGAAACATCAACATCACCCCGGAAGATGTGAAAGATTACAGCCTTGTCTTCATGGACTGTGGGGTTCACATCATGGAAGATAGACAACTCAACATAGAGGTCTGCAGGAAACCTACAAATGCCGATCAGTACCACCGTTTTGACTCGCACCACCCACTGGGACACAAGCTAAGCCTCATCAGAACCCCTCAGACACGAGCAGAAACCATCACCTTCACCAACAGAGGTTGAGACATACAAGGACATATCAGGACAACCCTGAAGAACTGTGGTTCTGCTGAGAGGGAAGAAAACAGAAGGAACATCGTCATTCCATATGTTGCTGGAGTCTCTGAAAAACCCAGGAGGATTTTAAGCCAGCACCAGATCCCTGTGCACTTCAAACCCGGCGACACTCTGAGACAAAAACTGGTTTATCCCTAAATTAAGACCCCCAAAAAAGGCCAACAATTTTGTTTATGCTGTACCGTGTAGTGAAGAGTGCACAGACCTGTACATTGGAGAGAGCATGCAACCATGAGCCATGTGCCAACAACAGGCACATGGCTCAAGACAGGAGGGCCACTCTTCAGGAAACCATCTTTCTTAACCTGGAAAAAGCATCTCTCAACAGAGGAATTGGTCTTAGACAAAACCTCTCATCTACTTATGAAGCACCTTTAGGAACAATACCCAGAAGATTCACCTCTCTAGAGCCCTCACCCAACTCACACTTCAATGAGGCATGTGACCGAAACCACTCTGACAAGGACGTTAACAACTTATCAGAAACCCCTAACAAACATTAAGACCCCCCATGTGACCTCGATGGCAATAGAAGGTGCCTGAGAAGTGTTGGCGTTGAAAGTAAAAAAATGCACAGCTTCATAACCTTCCCTAGCAACAGAAAAATGAGCTACAACAATGAGGTAATCTATTATATCATAGGTAGCATGAATTAGGCAACAAATCACAAAAGAAATGTTGGAACAGGTGGACGAATTCTTTTTATTACTATTTTATTATTTTATTACTATTTTTTAATTTCAGGGCCAATTTTCTGCTGTAGGGAAAGCATTCAGACCCCTTTAAATGGTTCACTCTTTGTTTCATTGCAGCCATTTGCTAAAATCAAAAAAGTTCATTTTATTTCTCATTATTCTACACTCAACACTAAATTTTGACAGAAAAAAAAGAAATGTATAAATATTTGCAAATTTATAAAAAAAGAAAAAAGAAAAAGTGAAATAACTAATCAGGACTCAACCCTTGAATTCAAATCAGTATGAGCCTGATAACAAATCTGGTCTCATATAACCACACCTGGAGCCTGGATTGGCCTTTGTTGACAGCTGAGGCCAGGATCCACTCCACACGCTAGATGGAGTCTGCCATTATCTCTTACCCTGAACTTTCCTAGTCCAGCTATAATGAGTATATTTGTATAGGTATGTGGTATATCTGTCAAAAGCACATGTATAAAGGTATATATTAAAACTAAAGTTACCAGGAAACAGCAAGAACAGAGCTGTTGATAAAGGCTTACTGCTACACAGACTATCAATTCAACAAAAATAGACATGTTAATCTTTCTGCAAATTAGGTGTCAGGAACATCTCTTATATAAACACAGTTTTTTCTGTCTATAATGCAAAACTGATGCAAACGTTTATAACATAGTATAATAGTTGTTTTGTTTTTCTAAATGATTCACAGAGGCGGTTGTTTTACATCTTTCTAAGAGCACATTTAGACTGAATCTTGCAACAGATTTTGAGATTTTATAGTAATATGACAATGTATTTGTAAAAAAATATTACAGTAAAATTGCAATATTATAAAAAGTTATTCTAATAAGACTAAATGTTTAATAGTTATCAAACAAGCTCAGCCAAACTGCAGCCTAAAGCATCTTAACTTTTGGTTTTTAATAAAGCAGGCCACTTCTTTAAAATGAAATATTACAACCTCATAATTTTATGAATTTATGTTCGTAATCAAAATTGTGTATTATATGTATATCTATGTATATCTATATATCTAAAATCTTCCTCACCCACCACGGGCAGTCTCCCTTTTTTCCTCTACTGCCAGTTTTGTCCTCTACCAGAGGTCTGAGAGCTTGAGGGTTCTACGCAGTATCTTTGCTGTTCCTAGAACTGCACTTTTCTGGACCAATATGTCTGATGTATTTCCTGGGATCTGCTGTAACCACCCTCGAGTTTGGGGGTCACTGACCCAAGGTCCCCAATGACCACAGGCACCACTGATGCCTTGACCTTCCAGGTTTTATCCAGCTGTTCTCTGAGCCCTGGTATTCATTTTCTCATGTTCCTATTTCCTGATGTTGCTGTCTACACTTGGTGTCTTGTCTGGTGTTGTAGATCTGGGCCTCTGGTGCTTTGGGCCTGCTCCTGTACAGCCATGGTGCAGCCTCTGTACTGTCCTGCAGTCTGGCATTGTTTGGCCATGATAGGATTTCCTGATATTTGCCACTTTGGTTATGTTTCAGTGGTACATCCTTTGTAGGGGCTTATCCTCCCATGATGAACCTCCAGCACCTAATTTTCTGTTCCCCATGGTCTGAGATATTCACTGGTTGTTCTTACAGCCAAGCGTCTCTAAGATAACTGCTGCTATGCAGTATATCAGCTCACTGGTGTCAGGGATGGTTGATGTAGGAGTTGCATGCAGAGCTGCATTCACGTCTTCTAGTAGACTTACTGATGGTACTTTATTTACTCTGTAACTGGCTTCATGGATGCCTGGTGGACATTTTTGCCATGATCTTATTTTTCAGGTCAGTTGCTGCCTCATTCTGTGTAGTTATGCTTATTGGGACGTTGTACTCTATGTCTGGCGGGGGGTTTGGTGTTAACCCCCCTGACCTAGGGTCCTGGTTCCCCCTTGCAAGACCAGTGGTTTTATAAATCGTCAGTCTGAAGTCGTGAGAGCAGTTGCCATTTATGGATGCTGGAAAATTGAGCTACAAGTTGTTTCGCTGTGATGCGGACTGTGGGTTTGAAGTGTCCATTTATCCCAAATCCACTTTCATGTAGCCCCTCTGACGAGCGTTACTGGAGTTGTAACATTTTAACAGAGCTCTGTTCTCGCATCTTGCTCACTTCCTTCTTGTTCCAGTAGCCCATTGTTAATCAAGGTGCTCTGGTTCACACATGACACAGACCTTGTGTTGGGAAGCCAGTTTGTGTGGATTGTTTTGTATGTTTCTTCTCTCTCCACCACCAGGTGGTGCCCTGTCCTCGTTGGGCCTCCCTGCACACCTGTGGCTCGTTGGTTCATTACTGCAGTCTAACCTGAGCTTCGTTTCTCTGAGTCTTATATTGTTTTTGTCTTGCTCTTCTGCAGGAAGCCTTCCTGTCCAATTGGATACCTGGACCTTCTCCCCCTGGAAGGATTTACTGAGTTCACACTGAGCAGGGGAGAACTTCCACATGATCCGTTCAAGTTCCCATCGGAAATCCAAGTGTCAGTCCGCTCCATTACTCCTCCGGTCTCCGCTCTCCAACGAATTCCCTTTTCTCTGGATAAACCCACACAGACTGGATTCAAGGATTGACAAGAGCCTCCTCAAAGGTGAGTCCCATTCCAGCATAATTCAAGCCGCAGTCTCATTTCCCACGGTCCCCCGAACTTATCTCTGTGATCTCCCCTTCAGACTTTCCGGTTCTGGTTCACCAGTTCTCTGAGTTCCAGATCCAACCTCTGTTCCCATTGCTACAAATACACCTGTTAAACTTTTCTCCGTGTTCCAGCTCTGTGTAAAATGTGTTCTTGGTCTTACTGTTTAGTGAAGTCATTTGAACATGCGTTTCCAGATCACTGCAAGTAAGGTTTTACAGTTAATTAATCCACAGTTAAAAAGAAGTGTAACAAGTAAAACTGAGTGATACAATGGAACTATAAGAATTTGTGGGACTTTTGAAGAATTAAATCAATAAAATTAGATTTTTATATTTGTCTGGTTCCAACATAATAAAGCTGTATATAACTCTGTAGACAACATGTACAGATAAATTGATATAAATTTAGAAGTTAAGCTGATGAATTGGATATTTTTTACATCATGTTTCAACATTTTTAAAGTACTGCTCAGATAATTTCTTATGATCCCCAGCTCTATCATGAATCCAGGTATATGCTGATGATAACATGTTAAAATGTTGTTCCTTGGAGACTGGATTCTCTATCCTTTAGCTTAGTCCTACATCTGTATAGGCTCCAGCTTTGTCTCAATACTACAACAACCAAATACATTTTATTTACGCTGAATAATTTAACAACCGACTATCCCACTATCCAGCTATGGATTTCACCACCAGCAAATAAGTTTCCGATTGAACTCATCTCTGTCCTTTGTAAACCAGATTGATAACCTACAAGTTACGACTAAAGCCAAAATATAAATTATCTTCTGACACAAATATGTCTTTTGGATCCTCTAATAGTCAGTAGCCTTCATTGTCCTCTTCATCCTTTCCTCATTAAATCACATGCAAAGTGAAAACCTACGGAGACTATAGGTAGAAGACTAAAATAAAATATAATCAGCTCTAAAACCTGAACTAAAATGTGACTATCAGATATCAACAATACAGTATACTTGAGGTCTGTGCCCTACATACACCCTCAGAGTTAAGGTAGAATATTAGGTACAGAGGTAAAAAGACGCAGGTAGAATATAATGCTGCAAACTCTGCACCAGCAGAATTTTGCATGTGCATGAGTCAATCCCAAACCAGGATTAACAGTCACATGAAAACATGGCTGTTATTGTAAAACTGAACACATTAGCAATGCAAAGCGAAGGTGGTGAATCTAGCGTGGAGAATGACGTGTTTTGGCAAATTACTTACATTTTATGGCTCCTGCGCATGCAAAGTACTTAAAGCCTGAAAAGTCTGAACTTTTGTGTATGTTTGTGTCATGAAACCCAATGAAAGACTAGATGTGGCTGTGACCTACAGTGAAAGAGGATTCTGGACAAGCTGTTTTTAATCAAAACTGAAGTCAGAGAAAATGAAGTTGACAAATAATAAAGTAGGGAATGCTGTTAAGAGGTTTGGGGGTGGCCTTTAAAGAAACCATTTCAATTTAAACCTCGAAGGACTGCTCAATTGTCCTGCCTCCAGTGCAGAGAACAGCCAGCTACAAAAAAAGCTATGAGAGTCCCGGTCATCCATGTTCGGCTGCAACCAAGAACAAGCAGGCGTGATGATGTAGGAACTTATCGTGCAAATTCGTCTGCCGTCTTGCTTTAGCATGCAAGGCAAACTTTTAAGGTGGGCAAAAGCAGGCAAAACTGTGAAATTTTCTCAAGTTTCGGGTTCAGTGTAAACAACACCTGCCTTTAGGAGGACAGTGGTACATTAGAGAAGCCCGCCTCGGAGACATATCAGGGAGAGGTTGCAGTTGGCAGTGGGTCAACAGAGCAGGGGGAGAGCCGGCAGTTGGGCAGTTTCTGCTATGGAGATAGGATGATGAAACAGTCTTAGGGTTAAATTAAAATACAGTATGTCTTTTTTTAAAAGCACACATAAACCTCTTAGGAGCATCCCTATCATTTGCCGACATTATTTTCTCTGTCTTAAATTTGATATAAAAATGCTTGTCTCCGCTTCCTCCTTCTCTGTAGGTCACAATAACATCTACACTGTGATTGGATTTTGTGATGCAAATGTGAACAAAAGTTCCGATTTTTCAACTCCCGCAAATTGTGTACCTTGCAGGTGTGGCAAAAGCAAAAAGGCAATCTGTAAAAGTAAAAAAAAAAAATCTGCAGTGAGTTTGAGTCTTTATATAGACAAGGCCTTGGTCGGTCCCCCCCCCTTTAACGACCGACCTCCCGAATCATAGACAGGTTTCAGATACTACAGTCTAACAATGGAACCAAACGACCCACTCGTCGGTTTCAGTTTACATGTTTCCAAGCAATACAAGGCCTTGTCTATATAAAGACTCAAACTCACTGCGGATTCAGATATTGAATTAAGAAAGCTTCGTGGAGGGGAAGCGAAACGTCTTCAAACCTTGGAAACCAAGTCCAGTGGATTGTTTTTTTTTAACTTTTACGGAATGACTCTGACCTGGATGACTGAGAATCTTCATCAGCAAAAAAGGCAGTCACCTTGCTAATCACCACCTTCACCTCACTCCACTTCAAAGCGCTCCAGACAAGCTATCTACATTGGAATTTTATGGAAATCATTCACTCCAGGTGCAAAATTGACGTTTGGAGTGACTGTGCTGAAGGCATAATGACATAGCAACATAAAAAAAAAAACTGCTTAATTTGTTTAATTTCTTTTACATTTTTTGTGTCAGAAAGGGACAAAATTATATGTATAAAAAATGCATTTGTCACATTTTATTTTCATAGCAGGCATGAGGACCCCTTGTATACCGAAGCCCTGTGCGATTGCAGAGTTCACACAGTCCATGCAATGGCTCTGTCCATGTGCTGTGTGCCAGAAAAAATGAAGTGCATGTTGGAAGACAAAATGCATATCTAAAGCAAATATGTAATGCCTTTATACTCCGCTCCATTCACAACCCCTTCTCTGCGTTGCTCTACCTGCTCTGTCCCTTGACCCTTGCCTGGTGCATCTCCTTTGTCCAGATTGCTTATGAGACACGCTATGATAATTATTTTGTTATTTTTGTGAAATTCAAAAGAAACATGCAAAGGTCTGAATTTTGAATGAAACTCTGTGGTAAGAGCTGTATATTTGAATTAGGGCGTGAAACAAATGCATTTCTATGTAAGCTGCAGCGGAGGAAGCAGAATTCACTGAAAGGAACATCAGAGTGGAGCGAGGACCAACTGTTAAGGTGAGGGAGACTGTTATATGTGAACTGCAGAAAGTTAAGAGCAGATTTTTTAGTTTTGAGCATTAATATTGCAACTTTTTAAGTAAGTTTTTAGCAACAATAATTTTACCTTACAACAGGTAGTAGATTTTAATTCTTGCCTGTACTTTATACAAACAAACAAAAAAATGTTCATAAAGTTTTCTCATATCCTGCATGTACTTACATTATTATTTAATACATTGCATGTATTAAATACATACATACATACACTACCGTTCAACAGTTTGGGGTCACCCAAGCAATTTTGTGTTTTCCTGAAGAGCCATACTTATTCACCACCATATGTTGTGAAATGAATAGAAAATAGAGTCAATACATTGACAAGGTTAGAAATAATGATTTGTATTTGAAATAAGATTTTTTTTTTTTTAATCAAACTTTGCTTTTGTCAAAGAATCCTCCATTTGCAGCAATTACAGCATTGCAGACCTTTGGCATTCTATCTGTTAATTTGTTGAAGTAATCTGGAGAAATTGCACCCCGCGCTTCCAGAAGCAGCTCCCACAAGTTGGATTGGTTGGATGGGCACTTCTTGTGTACCATACGGTCAAGCTGCTCCCACAACAGCTCAATGGGGTTCAGATTTGGTGAGTGCACTGGCCAATCCATTACCGATAGAATACCAGCTGCCTGCTTCTGCTCTAAATAGTTCTTGCACAATTTGGAGGTGTGTTGAGCGTCATTGTCCTGTTGTAGATTGAAATTGGCTCCAATCAAGCTCCGTCCACTGGGTATGGCATGGTGTTGCAAAATGGAGTGATAGCCTTCCTTATTCAGAATCCCTTTTACCCTGTACAAATCTCCCACCTTACCAGCACCAAAGCAACCCCAGACCATCACATTACCTCCACCATGCTTAACAGATTCTTCAAGCATCTTTTCATTTGTTCTGCGTCTCACAAACTTATTCTTTGTGATCCAAACACCTCAAACTTGGATTCATCCATCCACATCACTTTTTTCCAGTCTTCCTCTGTCCAATGTCTGACCAGACATTTGCAGCTAGAATAGTCATTTACCACATTAGCAATGTATAGAGTGTATTTCTTCAAAGTTAAGACTAGTTTAAAGTTATCTTCATTGAAATGTACAGTGCTTTTCCTTCAAAAATAAGGACATTTCAATGTGACCCCAAACTTTTGAACGATAGTGTAAATCTTTTTTAGACCAATATAACCTATCTTCCTTTATTTCTCTCTCCAACCCTACATGTTTTACTGGTACTCAATAAAGTACAATAAAGTAGGGGCAGAGAAGGCTTTTTTTGTACACTAGTTAAAATGTTGAAAATTGTGAATGATCCTGCATATTTGTCCTTTCCTTTCAAGATGCTGTGGAGTTTGGTTTTCATCTGGGTTATAAGTAAGTGGCTGTTTTTCATTTGTTTGGATCTCTATCTCACAATTGTTTAAATAATCACAACGAGGAGTAAGAGTTCAGGTTTACAACAAATGGATCTAGTTTGAAAGAATTGAAACTGTTGTTTTAGAAAAAAAAAAAAGAAATCATATATTAGTGTTGTTTCATTATTTACAGCAACCCAAAATGTAGCCGTGCAGACAACAGGTAGGATCAAATATTCTTTGTGGAACAAATAGATGATTGCTACTGACATAAACCAAAATGTTAGATACATTAAACTAGGCTAATATTTTATTTTTTGTTCTTCATCTTCAGATCTCTGCAACACAAAGAACACCCTGTGCATACAAAATGACAAATAAAGAAGTCTAAGTCTAAGTCTAAGTCTAAATCTGACCGGGAAGACTGCATCTCAGTCTTCCGATTTTTTTGCAAATGGCAGTCCATACATTGCTAACAGAGCCTTTGATGGGGATCGCTTCATATGTTCTCACACCGAGTTGCAGACTAACCCTTGGTGGAGAATTGACCTGCAGGGGATATACAGCATTTCCTGTATCTCTGTCTATAATAGGAACGGTTTAAATACCAATATATCAGGAGCTCAAATCTACATTGGGAATTCTCTAGAGAACAATGGCACCAACAATAGGCTGTAAGAACATCATGATGCCTTAATGGGATTTATATTATATTTTTGACCTTAAAATAAATTAAAATTAAACCGGATGATCCGGCAGTGTTATAGTTTTGCGGTGTATTCATTATCTGCTCTGCTGTTTTGATTTTCCTCTTATTCAGGGTTTACAATATCACAGACTTCCAAGAAAATCAGCTAAATATCTTCAGATTTTCCGAATCAGTGGCAGGGCGATACGTGACTTTCTTCACACCAAAAAGGTCACATATGATTCTTTGTGAGGTGAACATTACTGGCACAGAGATAGGTAGGTCTGATTTAATTCTCAGTCGGTTTGAAGCTTAAATGTTTGCATTGATATCTTTATTAAACATCTCCTTTAAACATGACATATTTTCATCTTAATTTCTATGGTTGTAATTTCTGTGTGTAACAACTTCAGCTGCAACATCTATTTCAAGTTAGAATAATTATGTAATGTCTATGTAGGGAAAACAGATTTTCATCATGATGCAATTATTAAATAGTTTCATGCAATAATTTGACTAAACTTTTCATATATTTATAACTTTCTGTGTAATTTCCACCATTACAGGGCAGAATCTTTTTTTCAACCATTGTTGGTGCTGACAGACATGTTAGATTTGGGCTTTTAATGGTGCATTATTGTTTTATTGTTGTTGTTGTTGTTTTTTTTAAGTAAAATGCTGTTAAAATAAACTTTAGGTTTATTATAGATTTTAAAACGAATATTTCATCAGAAGTTGAAATGTATACTTACACTGTCATAAACATTTCAAGAAATTCCTTTTGGTAAGCTGCACCCGTTTGAATCCATTTTCAATAATCTCACTGATATAATGATGAGATGTTCAGTTTACCAAACAGGGAGTCATGCATTTTTTTTTTTTATTCTAAAAAGGTGTTGCTCAAAAAAGGAAACCTGAATAATTAGCTTGAATTCAATACTACCCAGAAAGACAAGCCAGAGCCTTCCAGCAGTGTCTGGAAATGTTATGGTCAATGAGGCAGAGCTGAACCTTTTGGCTTAGACTTAGACTCAACTTTATTTATGTCTTTGGATTACTCCTTCAGGGAAATTCTGGTTGCAGTAGCTTATATAGAGTACAAGGAATCAAATCAAAATGCCATTCAAGATAAAAAAAAATATGACAGACAATATAAAAAGATTGTATCTAGTACCATAAAAGCATAAAAGAAAGAAAAAAGTTGTAATGTCCTGAAATATGTTTCCCTTAGATATAAAAACATGTGCACAGTAGAGAGCTATGGGAAGACTAGATGGGAGTTGACTTGGGTTATTGCACTTGTACTGAAGAGATGTACTGGCCATATAAATAAGTAAAACCAAGTACACAGGCTACACAGTAGTTGGCATGTGTTATTGCACAGTGAGAGAACAGAATATTGCAAATGAGTAATGTTTTGCATAACATGTGCAAGTAGGGGGTGCTGACCCTTGTCCCTCTTCTTATCATCTCCTCCTTCCCCCAAGTCAGGAGCTGTACAGTTTGATGGATTGGGGAACAAAGGAGTTCTGGAGTTCTACAGTCTGTTGGTCCTGTATTTGGGGAGGAGGAATCTCTCAATGATCAGGCTCCTCTTAGTGGTGAAGACTGTGTGCAGAGGGTGGCTAAAAGTATGACATTTTTTCCTGTTTCTGTCTCTCTGTGTATCAGAATCTCCCTTTAAGCTGATCAACATTAACAAGACCTGGGAAGACTCTCGGTCCTACTGCAGGGCTAATCACAGAGGTCTAGCTACTATACTGGATGAGCAGCTTCAGTTCTTTGCTGCAATGGAGGCAGAGAAGGCCAATAGTCCCTTTGCATGGATCGGCCTTCGCTTCGTCTGCAACAAGCCGGTCTGGTTCTGGGCTGATAACTGTACAATTGATTATGAAGTCTGTGACATAAGTGGAGCCATGGAGACCAAAGGACAGCATAAATGGTTCAGCAAGTCTGATACTGAAAAGTTCAATTTCATCTGTGCTTTGTAAAAAAACTAAATCTAACTGCTTTTCTTCATAGGTAGAAAAAGGCTTTTTCTTTTAAATTGTATATTGGAAAATATAATTGTCTGCGACATCTGGAGATGGAGGGTTGACAGGATATGGATGGATGGATGGATAATCGTATGTGTTGTGCCATATGCCAATGATCATGGTCTTTGGGCATTGGGAACCAGTGTCCATATTTCATCTTGATATGATGATGTGGAATCAGCTGTCCAATCTCTGCGAACCCCCCCTTTTCAGCCAAGGCCTCCACAGGCAAGTCACATGGCAGCCCACAGAGGTGTGAACAACCACCCCCCTCTGTGTGAGGACAGACAAAACCCCAGAGCACACAGAAGATTCTCTCTCTTTTTGCCTCCTGCGCTCTTTGCCTCCTCTCCCTTGCCCATGAAGCTGGGGTCCGCTTCTGCCCGGATCTCCACTGTCGTGGAGAACCAAGGCCCAGAGGGGACCCAGACCTCCAGAATCATCAAGGATGGGTCATTGTGGTAACCTTTCAGAAACAAACCTCTGAAAAACAGACCTTTTGCAACACATTTCTCTTGAGTCTCAGAACTTATAGAGCCAGACTGGAGAGGAGGCCTACCCTGCCTTGATGAATGACTGAGACAAAGAATCCCTGGTTATTGCCCTGAATACTGAGCTGCAGCTGGATGAGACTCAAGCTTTCCAACTGGAGATGGAAAAAGGTTTGCAGGTCTGGCATGATTAGGGACAGAACAAACAACATGTCTTTTGATGATGACTAAAGCCAATGCTAACAGAATGGAATGCATGCTACACTATGCTATAGTAACATGTGTTGAGCTGTTGCTGAAGCTTGGACAAGCTTTACTTCACTAAGGGTTTACACACTGGTATAACATTAGTGTTCATGTGTTCCTCAAATGCTCATTACATTTCCAATAGCAAGTATGACCAAGAGTCATTTAGTGGAATCCTGATGTCTTTTCGCTTCTTGCTATTTCAAAGAGGGTAAAGAATCATTTAACTAAAGGGTATTGGTTCTTGATTAAGCAAATCATTTACAGTGGGGACTGGTTGGAAATGGACGGTTTCCTGCGTGATTCCTGTGTGATTCCCACGTGAATCACGTTGTATTTCCTGAGGCCAGTTTTTTTATTTCAAAAAGAACTGCAATGTACCCGGACAACCACCAGGTGGCGCTTGGGACCTCTGCCGTGCTGAGGGTGACGTTTGTGGGCCTGCAGTCAACTGAAAAGCAGGTTTATTGGGGATCTTGGTGTGATACTGTGCTATTTTATTTTGTTTTTGATTAAAATAAAGTTAATGAATTAATTTAACATAAGATTATGCAGTCAAGTGACTGCATAATCTTATTTTATGAAAATGGTTGCGTAGTTATAGATACACCTCCGATCTTATCTGAGAACTGTTATTTCTATTTATCTGCATCGCTATTATTTAATGAAAAATAAAATTAATTAAGTTGGAGCCGGGGATACGGACTGTAGCGCAACCAGAGAAAGGCGACAGAGACAGTGCTGCGGCTGGTGATGTTGAAATTAAAATCATATCCAAAGTTGATTCCTCATTAAGATAAGCCAAAGTTATTCAAAAGGGTATGTAAGAAAATATATTTTCTTTAGTTTTGTAAAATATAAGTGCCGTTGAAAGCTTTGTTTTTGTGTGTTACTTTCTTGCCGTGCAATACGTGACACCCCTCCCAGTCTGGTCAAGTAGCAGACTGGGAGGGATGTCACGTCTTGCGAACTTATAGCGCAGTGGTTAAGCTGAGTGGTGTGTAGACTAATAGCTTGTGGGTTCAATCCCAACTGTGGCCGAGTTGCCTTAAAGGGATAGTTTTGTATTTTTGACATGAATCTGTATGGCATCCCGATCACCAGCGGCATGCAATCACACTGACTTACCCCTGGCAGCGTCCTGTGAGCAGAGTTATCGTCCAGTTTTGGTCAAGCCGAAAGTAGTCCTGCAGGTTTTTAGGAACAGCGAAATAAAACTTTTCTCTTCCCAAAACATTATGTGTCCAAAAGAGTGATATTTTCGCATCCCAAAAACATTGTAGTGGAAAAAGTCACACGTCGTTATCAATTGGTCCTATTTTCTCTCTGTTCGTATCAGTGCGCGCCGTCATTCAGACAGCGAGCCCAACAACAGCCATGTCTCCTTCCGCGGCGGAGGGAGACATGGCTGTTGTTGGGCTCGCTGTCTGAATGACGGCGCGCACTGATACGAACAGAGAGAAAATAGGACCAATTGATAACGACGTGTGACTTTTTCCACTACAATGTTTTTGGGATGCGAAAATATCACTCTTTTGGACACATAATGTTTTGGGAAGAGAAAAGTTTTATTTCGCTGTTCCTAAAAACCTGCAGGACTACTTTCGGCTTGACCAAAACTGGACGATAACTCTGCTCACAGGACGCTGCCAGGGGTAAGTCAGTGTGATTGCATGCCGCTGGTGATCGGGATGCCATACAGATTCATGTCAAAAATACCGAACTATCCCTTTAAATGTTTTTTTTTTTTTTTTTTTTTTATAAAGCATCTTAATGCACCTTTTTCCTCCCTGTTTGCACCTCCAGTAACTTCTATGCCAATATGTGACGAGTGAATTTCTCCGCTGTGAGATCAATAAAGCTCATCTAATCACATCTACTCCAATCTAAATAAATAAATAAATATACACATGTTCAATAAATAAATAAGCATTCAATTAATTACCCCCAATAAATGGTGAAATGATATGTTCTCATAATAAATCATTTATTTAAAAAATGCTGTTATGTTCCTTTTTTTTAAAATACCTTTTAAAATGCTTAACTATTTTTATTCTTTTATTTTCTTTCAAAAAATCACTAGATTTTAAAAACACTCATAGGTTTTGAAAGGTATTATATATATATAGAAACTAAAACGCTCGGATCTTTCTGTCATTTTGTGTGCGTGTGAAGCATCTGCAATGTTTTCGTTAAATATTCAAATAAATAAGATGGACTTTAAACTAGCAGACACGTTTGGATTTTTGCCATTTAATTTTTTTATTTAATTTTAAAAACGAAAGAAATGGAAATGGGGTTTGACGAAAACCAGAAATATGGTCTGCCTGCATTCATGAACAACTTATGTTTGTGAGACCCCCTACCCCTCAGGACCCCCGCCTAATCAGTGCAAAAAATAACGACAAATGGCTTTAGCAGGTTATTCAGAGTTGACGCGGTACTTTGCAGACAACTTACTCTCTTGTTCTCTGACAATAGAATTCAACCACCACCATTTACAGAGACCCCCTCCCCCTCACAGCTCAACTTTGTGGTTTCAACACTGCAGCGAAAGTTTCCTGATATGGGGAAGAGTGACTTGAAGGACTGCATTGATAAGATCAACGAATTTCTCCGTACAACACGCAAATCATCCCAACGACTCTCAATGTAAACCTGTTCAGTATTCATCACAATAAACACATTTTCTCTCATGCTCTTTTCCCACTTTGTGTTGTTTTAAAATCTAATCTGAAATATAGAAATAGAAATTATAGAAACAAAATGTTTCACAGCAGTTTTTTCAGGAACAGAATCAGGTTTATTGACATTGTCAGAGAAGGAGTTCACAAACTAGGGATTTTTTTATGGTACAATCGTGCAAGATGACACATATAAGGGTAAATAGAATTATAAAAATATCTAAACACTGTGGCAATATATAAGCAATATCTATACCGTATATCCAGGTCTGGGACGGATTTTAGCAGGGGCTTACCGGGGCTGCAGCCCGGGGCCCCGGCATTCCCGTAGGATTTATATTTTTGTGAATGGATAGCGTTAGAATTTACCGTATTTTCACGACTATAAGCTAAAATCCGTCCCAGACCTGGATATACGGTATAGATATTGCTTATATATTGCCACAGTGTTTAGATATTTTTATAATTCTATTTACCCTTATATGTGTCATCTTGCACGATTGTACCATAAAAAAATCCCTAGTTTGTGAACTCCTTCTCTGACAATGTCAATAAACCTGATTCTGTTCCTGAAAAAACTGCTGTGAAACATTTTGTTTCTATAATTTCTATTTCTATATTTCAGATTAGATTTTAAAACAACACAAAGTGGGAAAAGAGCATGAGAGAAAATGTGTTTATTGTGATGAATACTGAACAGGTTTACATTGAGAGTCGTTGGGATGATTTGCGTGTTGTACGGAGAAATTCGTTGATCTTATCAATGCAGTCCTTCAAGTCACTCTTCCCCATATCAGGAAACTTTCGCTGCAGTGTTGAAACCACAAAGTTGAGCTGTGAGGGGGAGGGGGTCTCTGTAAATGGTGGTGGTTGAATTCTATTGTCAGAGAACAAGAGAGTAAGTTGTCTGCAAAGTACCGCGTCAACTCTGAATAACCTGCTAAAGCCATTTGTCGTTATTTTTTGCACTGATTAGGCGGGGGTCCTGAGGGGTAGGGTACGGTGGCTGAGAAGTGCAAAACACATTTACAATTCAAAAACACATTAACAAATAAAAAACAAAATAACATTTGAAGAAACAAAATTATATTTTGTGAAACAAATGTATTTTTGAAAAAAAAGTTTAAATTTTTAAAAACAAATTTACATTTTAGCAAACAAATTTACATTAACAAATAAACAAAATAAAATTTGAAGAAACAAAATTATATTTTATGAAACAAATGTATTTTTGAAAAAAAAGTTTAAATTTTTAAAAACACATTTACAAGTCAAAAACACATTAACAAATAAAAAACAAAATAACATTTGAAGAAACAAAATTATATTTTGTGAAACAAATGTATTTTTGAAAAAAAAGTTTAAATTTTTAAAAACAAATTTACATTTTAGCAAACAAATTTACATTAACAAATAAACAAAATAAAATTTGAAGAAACAAAATTATATTTTATGAAACAAATGTATTTTTGAAAAAAAAGTTTAAATTTTTAAAAACACATTTACAATTCAAAAACACATTAACAAATAAAAA